ATAGATCTGGAGAAAAAACTAAAGGCAGAATCAAAGGAAAAGGAAATAACTGACCGACAGCTGGAACAAAGCAGAGAGGAGATGAGAAACCAACGAGAGAAGTGGGAAAAGGAAAGGAGTAAGTGGTGGGACAGACGACATCAAGAAAATGAAGAGAAACAAGCAAAACTTAGAAAACTGCAAGAAGAATACGACCAGGAAAGAGAAAAATATGTAAACAAGAGAAAAGAAGAGAATCGAATGAGAAGAGATCTGGTAGCTCTGGTAGAAAAACACATGGAGGAAATAAAAGAACTGAAACACCAACATGAGAGACAGATGCAGCAAACAGACGGGAGACACAGTAAAGATTACAAACAGTTGGATGAACTCTCCAGTTACAAAGAAAAATCTCTCAAAGAACAAATTAAGGAAGAAATAAAGGCTCTAGAAAAGAATTATGAGAGTAGCTGTATTATCCTCTGATCATGAACACGATAGCCCTTCAGTACTTTTTCATAATTTTTTTCCAACTTTTTTTCCAATATTTTGGAGATTGATAAACATTTACAATGTTCTTGACAAGTCTTGCTAGATATTTAGATTATGCACAGTTAATAAGACTAATAAGAATGTACATCTGCAGTATGTGTGACATTGGCATGGTGGAGGGTGTTAAGTAAATTCTTTGATGTACAATATTTAATATGCGGTAAAATTGTCCCTCTCTTTCATAATCAATTTTCTCGTCATTTGGAGACTGAAATAAAAACAGAATTAAAATGTCCATAAGTTCTTTATGTCATATCAAATTTTACACTAATAAAATATCTATTGACCTGAATTTTCCATGTATATTTGTAAAACTTTATGGTATTTGTATATTGTATATGTATATATTCTATTTCAAATTTAACTGGCTTCCTTTTTAACCTCCTAGGACCTGGCGTCCACATATGTGGACATCACATTTTGGGTTGTCTAGACCAAAATACTAAATCTTGCTCTACAAATGGCTCTCATTTTTCTTAGAAACAAAAATCAGGTAAAAACAAACAAACAAACAAACAATCTGGTAATTCTTTGTTTTTACATTCATCAGGTCCCAATCCATGTTCTCACTCCTAACTCGTCAAATGTGTGACGCATGGTCAGGCTCCCTCTGCTTCACTTATCGACGCGCAAGGTACCCCCCTCGCGTCGAGAATTGATGTGCAGGGTCCTCTCATTGAATACTATAGAGCTCCCTAAACGTTGTTTATTGACGACAAGAGATTGCCGCGGAAGAGCCTGTTGTCCATATATATTTCCAAAATCACTTTGTAGTGACGTATACTGAACACAATAAATTATATGTAAACAACTACCTGAGAAACAGCAGATAAATTAAATACAGGCTATTACTTTTGTATCGTTTATTGCATTTATGGAGGGAGTGGTGTATGCTGGGTAATGGTACAGCTAGCGACTGGGTGACTTTATTCACCTGCTTCGGATGTTATCAATCAATACTAGTGATGTGCGATACCACTGATTTCCTTTCCGATCTGATACCAAGTAAAATTCAGGGTGGTATCGACGATACTTGTCCGATACCAATACTCTGTAATGTAATGTTGGTGATATTAAAGTCCTGTTTGTGGCACATTAGTATATGTGAGGGGGCAAACTCCTCAAGATGGGTAGTGACCATGGTGGCCATTTAGAAGTCGGCCATCTTGGATACAACTTTTGTTTTTTCAATAGGAAGAGGGCCATGTGACACATCA